AACTGTGCTGTTTTCTGGAATTTTGTTTTTTACTTTTTTGTTGTGGTTGTTGTTGTTTTGTTTGTTTGTTTGTTTTTGTTTTTTGTTTTTTTTTTTTTAAAACTGAGTGTGCTGGATGTCGCTACAATTTTGTTCAAATGACTGCAGAACCTGGAAAAGCTGTTGCTGTTTTTGATGCATAAAAATAGATACAAAACTTTGGACTGACCAAGGTAAGTTAAATAATAGAGTATTTTCTTTAAATTTTCCAAATATAAATGGACTGGACATTGTGAATGCAATTCTTATCTGATAATTGTTCTTATTGTTTATAGGTTTAGTACGTTAGAGTTAAAATCTTTCTTTTTTATTTAGAAGAAAGGGGGGAAATGTCACAGATATTTGTTCATACTGTGTAAAAATATGTCACTTTGACTGATTTAATAAAAAGCTAAACAGAAAAAAAAAAGGTAAGCTTTTAGAACATTATATAAAATCAAAGAAGCATGTCACAAAAGCCTTACTGTATAATATGACCTAGATGAAATTCACAAATTAGGCAAAGTCATAGAGACTAGGAGTGGGGGGAGGGAAGGGGGACTGATCACTAATGATCACTAACAGCATTTCTTTGTGGGGTGACAGCAATATTTTGAATTGACTCTTAAAAGTTATCCTGACTTCCATTTGAGTGCCACTCTCTCACACACACACACACACACACACACACACACACACACACACACAATAAAGTAAAAAAAAATTGTCAACTTGATGGGATTCAGAATCGCCATGGAAACACAACTCTTGGGTGTGTCTGTGAGGGTATTTCTAGGAAAGTTTAACTGAAGAGACCCACCCTGAATGTGGGAGCACCACCCCATGGGTGAGCTGAGCACCAGTGTCCATCTCTCCATGCTTGTTGACTGTGCATGCAATGTGACAGCTGCCTCAAGTTCCTGCCACCAACCTTTCCTGCCATGTTGGGCATTTTGTCACAGCAATGAGAAAAGCAATAGCCATTCTAAATTTAATAGCTGCACTGATGTAGATAGGAAGCATTCTTTCAAAAGCTCTTGCGTTGAAGGCTTTGCCCCAGCTGATGGGGCTACTGAGAGATGGCTGGATCTTGAGAGTACTAGCTCCATCGATGGGCTAATCCACTGATGGCTTTACTGAACCCGCTACTATAGTAGGGGGCATATGTCCTGGAGCATGCCCCTGAAGGGCCTCTCTTCCAGACTTCTTCTTTGTTCCTTTTCTGTCTCCTGTCCTGCTCTACCATGGTGGCACACATGGTGACTCACCACACAAAGGTCTGGAAGCTACAGAGTCAAGTGGCTAAAACTGAAAGCTCTGAAACTTTGAGCTAAAGTAAACTCTTCCACACATACAGTGTTTTGTTACAGGGGAAAAAAATGGATACATAATCATTCATTAAAATAATGATGGTATTTAAACCTTTTACAGAGTAAGCCAGGCAGTGATGGTGCACACCTTTAATCCCAGCACTTGGGGAGGCTGAGGCAGGTGGATCTCTGAATTCAAGGCCAGCCTGGTCTACAGAGCTAGTCCCAGGTCATCCAGGGCTATACAGAGAAACCCTGTCTTGAAAACAAAATAAAAAACCACCCAATCACTTTCATGAACTAAGAATTATACAGCTAGAGGAGGCTGCATAGACTAATTCAAACCAACTTTTTATGGATAAGGAGCCATGACTCTAGAAGTTGATCCTTGAAAGTGAACTTGGTGACCCAGGTAATAGCAGAATATACTGTAGTGTATTTCATCATTCGATTTCCATATATACTATTATATGGTTACTTTGGGCATTAAAAAAATCCTGGGTTTGAATTCCAGTTCTGCCTCTAATAACCTTGAAATATAATTTAACATTAAATCTCAGCATTATTATCTGCAAAAGAGAGAAGGTTGGATTTAAGCACTAAAAAATAATCAAGTGTCAATGAACTTAACAAAGCCTTCGGTATTTCTCAATAAACCTTACTACTAGAAGTGGAACACTGTTGGCATCAGTACTGCATTTGAATTAGAGAGCTCCGAGTTTATGTTAAAATCAATAAACAGGAACCACGAAACCTGTTTTTAGTAGAATCACCTTTGAGTTTTCCAGACCTTGGAGCCCTGTGCAAAGGGAAAGCCAGACTATTTCATGATTAGAAATTTTTCTGTCTCTGGCATGGGATCTCTTGGAATTGAAACTGTTATTATGAATGGCTTATTTCTTTTTAGAATATACACTGACTGCTATTCTCCCAATTACCTGCTTTCCTGTCCACAGCGGGAAGGGCTTCAGGATGGCCGGAGGAAAGAGCTTCACTCGGCCCACTTTGTCTGTGAGCCCTCGGTATACCAGCTCCATGTACTGTTCCCGGGTGAAAAAGCATCCCCGAATGGTCATGTTTGCACCTGAAACCATGTGATCCTGAATCAATCCTGCCAATGGCTGGCCATCCTACAAAAAAAGGAAAGAATGAAGACAAATTTCAAGTCAAACTCCTCAATCTCTGACCATCTGCTTGGAAGCCATTTTATCAAGAGCTTTCCTATAACACCCAGTCTATCCATCCGTTCCATGCTCTCACTTAGAAGCAGATTACCTCACCAATAACATGAGCAGGAGTTACTACTGCCCTCATCTTCTGCCATCTGCCTACTGTCTTATGGCAAAAGTAATTCAAACTTATCCGTTTCCACAAGCCTTCCTTACTTAATCCCATCTGGTTCTAGTTACCCAGTAGATTTTTGGCATTTATGCATAAGTTTGGTCTGGCTGTTGTCAGTCATGTTCTTGGTTTTTGTAGTTTGGTTTTATGCTTTTGCATTTTTCACACATTTCTGGCCTTGTTCTTCTGTAAATCAACCATCTATTTAATAAATATTTATTGAAAGCCTACTGTATGTCTAGGCATTAGGCATATTAACAGCCTGTTTTAGGAAAAGCCAGACAGTAAACAAATGCTGAGATGAATATAAAACCACAAAGTTTTAAATGTCATAGAAGAAAAGCACAGAATGGGCCATAATATAGACTGGGGAGTGGTGGCCAGACTCTCTCTCTGAGAACAGCAGTGCAGCTGACACCTTAGGGATGACTTGGAGTCAGCCTGGAGGACATTAAGAGCTCAGGGTTCTTTTTTGGGAGAAGGGGGGAGGTCTTTTGAGACAGGGTCTCACTATGTACCTTCTGGCTATCCTGGAACTCATTATGGTAGAACAGGCTGGCCTTGAATTTACAGAGATCTGCCTGCCTCTGCCTCCCCAAGTGCTGTGACTGAAGGTATGCACCACCACTGCTCTGAGCTCAGGGTTCCTGAGAGGACCACTGGAAGGTCTTGATGTATTTGACTATATTGCAAAAGAATGTCCTTTACCAGTGTCTTCAGAATGCAGCATGTAGTTCAGGGGAAGTTCTCATAAAGATATTACCTACCTAAGACCAAAACATGGGATTTTATTAAAACCCTAGTTTCAGTGGGCACATCAATTTCACTTGACATTTTCCCAGTCTTTGTAATCCCTAGTCTCGTGGACCTTATCTGTCAGGTCTGTGTTCATGGCAACACAGGCAAACAGAGTAAAAATAGCTACATTCACTGACATTCTATAAGAAGTTTCTGAAAACTTTGCAATGTTTACGGGAATCTGAGAAAAAACTGATACTAGAACTCAAAGAACATTATCATCTGACTGTCATATTACAGCCATATTTAATACCCAAGGGCTCGGGACCTCACAACACAACCGTTGGAAGATCCAGAATGTGAACACATGCACTAATTCAAAGACTAAGAGGATTCTTGCCAAATGATCTAAATAAACACTGTAACAACAGGTCCATGAAAACTCAGTTATTATTAGAGATGGGCTAAAAAGGTGCCATAAACATAAAGCAGGAGCAGAAAGAGTGTTCAGCCTTTTTTATGAAGGGTTCGAGTTACTAACATAAATAAAAATGATCTTCCCTAGTGATACTGGGTATATCAACCGCAGTCCAGGGTGGGCCCCATGCCCAGGAGTAGCTGGCCCATTCAAAACAGACTCCATGTATTTTTGTACATGTGCTTTTGTTTTGCTATATTTTGTATTATTGATCTCTCTTTTAGTTTTGATTTTTATTCCTTTTTTTAAAGAACATGATGAAAAAATATTGTATGAAAAAATTTAAATAAATTAAAAAAATCTGCCACATCTTAATCCAAAAATGATTTTTTTTTTTTTTAAAGGAGAAATCCAAGCCAGTACTATGCACTGATTTATCCCAGTCTCTGGGGGCAGGTACTAAAGAATTTTCACTCTTTAGGGTACCTTATCTCTTTTCTATATCCAAATTTTTCCAGTACTAGAAATTCCCATAAAGAGCTAAAATGCTTTCAATGCATTCATTATGGATTCTAGGGGGAAATGCTGATTAATTCAATCACTGGGGGGTGGGGGATCTACTTATAATTTTGAGTTTCCTAAAAAAAAAAAAAAAAAAAAAAAATCTGTTTAGGGTTAGAAAGAATAATTCTGAATTAAACCCCAGAAAACTGTCAGTTCTGCTACTGTTTAACATCCCAGCAAGATGACACTAAAATCAGTATCTTTGGCCAGTAAGAGAATTTTCTAATTAAGTAGAAGTCAGGAAACTACATCTTAAGCTTTGTCAAGAACTTTCCACAAAGCTTTGGACCTTAGTGAATACAGGAAACAAAAGGGGAATATTGTTTAAACAGATAAATGGAAAATTCAGTTGTTTTCTTAAAAAAAAAAAAAGTCAAAAGTTCATCTCAGCTTTTAATTAAGAACACAAACTCTACTTAGTACACAGGACAGCTAGTAGTGAAGGGTACTTTAACTTGACACTACCGTTAGGTAATGAGAAAAAGTAGAAGAAATGAAACAATGAACAAAGGGAAATGTAAAAAAAAGGAAGGAAAAAAAAATGACCAAACTACCTGGTCTCTGAAGGCCTGGGTCCAAGGAAAAAAAATGGTCAAAATAGAGAGTCAAAAGAGTCCTAAAGCAACCGGGTGTTGGTGGCGCACGCCTTTAATCCCAGCACTCGGGAGGCAGAGGCAAGTGGATCTCTGAGAGTTTGAGACCAGCCTGGTCTACAAGAGCTAGTTCCAGGATAGCCTCCAAAGCCACAGAGAAACCCTGTCTCTAAAAACAAAACAAAAAAACAAACAAAAGAGTCCTAAAGAAGCAATGGGCTTTCTGTTTAGCCAAAGCAACTGGCTATTAATACTTTGCCACCAAAGATGCTGTATTTTTACAACTGTAAAATAAGGATTTCCCTCTTGGTATTTATACTAATGACTAAGTAAAACTGACCAAAATCTTAACTTGTGACAAAACAAACTGACTGAAAGTGAAAAGAACTTGCAGGCCACCCCCAAGGTTTCTTTAAAAGGCTCAGTGGGGCTGGGGACATGGCTCAGTGGCAGAATGCTTGAGTAGCATGAGCAGATCCTACGTTTGGTTCCTGGGGTTAGGGTTCCTGGGGTTAAAAACAATTTAAAACATTTTTATTTGGGTTATGCTTTAAAACCCATGGCACACAGGCATGTGATGAGGTCCCTGTGGATTCAAATAGGCTGGCTCGTTTCCAAGCACATCACAAAAAGGAAGCCCCTGGCTGCTTTGTGGACTAGCACATGCAAGTTCATTAGTCTGAAGACTTCAGGGTGCCTGACTCCCCATGTACACAATGAGTCTTGGCCTCATCACTGTCTGGCAACTATTTTTCTTGGTGTTCTGTTTTTTTTTTTTTTTCACCTGAAAAGTGGTACCTATTTCTAAGGGCACTGTGAAGACTACATACAAAAATGTTTGTAAACTGCTGACAGCAGTGCTTGATGTCCAGGGCCTGGCCGGTACATGATGGCTTCATATTGCTACTACTCTACCAGCTACTACTGCTGTTATTATTATATTTTCACTACTGTTACTGCATGAAAAGGTAAAGAGCCAATTTTCGCTTTAGCGAATTATCTTTCCTAATTTCCCAGTGGTCTAGTGGGCTCAGAACTCCTTCCTATATTTGGACTTTCTGCTAACCTATGTAACCAATGGCCTACTAATGTGGGCAGAAAAAGCAAAGTTAAGCACAAACTGGCAGCACGCAAGCCACAGTGATACATAGGGAGACAGACTACTGATAGGGAGAAGATCTTAGGGGCAGACAGTGCTGGGCAGCTTCCAGCATCCCCCAAATCCATGCTTTCCCTCTCTGAAGCAGAGCCAAAACCACAAGGACCTGGGAGCTCCTTGTCCTCCTCTGACTTAAGTGATCTTAGGCAAGTGCCATTCCTCGAGTGTAAAGTATAGACATTAGTAGTACTTAACCTCTGAGGACTGTGAACAGTGAAATAAGAAGCCTCCATAGCGCTTTGCAGGCATGGAAAACACACTTGGTAAATGGGACCTGTGGTTTCCATCACTATTTCTAGTCTCTTCAGATTCCACCACATTCCAAATGAATGCGATATATCACTGGAAGGCAACTGTGCATACTCTTAAAAGCCTCAGTGCTTTGAGCAGGTGGGAAGGATGAAGTGGTGCCTGGAATATACTCAGCCCTTTCTTCTCAATCTAGTGTTCTTTGCTCTCTTCCGCCCACAAGCACCCACTAAGTCAGACCCCTGACACATAAGTGAACACATCAGCTGGCCAGGGGCAATAGAACATTATATCCTTCTGGTATGTCCACTTGGACAGCTCTGACCACATGAGGTTGCCCATGAGGAACAACCTTAGAGGGGAATTCAAAGAGATGTCTTCACGAGTTATAGAGGGAATCTTACCTGGACCCCTGGGGTTAAGCTGCCTCTTAAAATTTAGGCTTAGAGATGGGGAAATGAGGTCAATATAGCAGGAAAGAGAGGGAAGAAGGAAGAAAGACAACACCAAGAATATATGAAAAAGCCACCAGGAATCACTATTTTTTTAATCTAAAATTACATATGATACATTTAAGTGTATGTGTATGCATATATACATATACTTAAATAAAGTTATCCAACTTGGGCTAACAATGTTCCCCGATGAGCCATAGACTATTTAGCAAAAATCAGGCATGAAAAACTCCCTTTGAGTTGTTGGTCAAGGGAGTCCAAGAGATGCCCACTAAAGTATAAGTTACCGCTGCTGCCCCTGACTACCCCTCAAAGGTTGAAGTCAAGTCCCCACTGCTGAGACATTCTGTCCTTCAGTCACAGGGCTTAGGGGATCCAAGTGGATCTGACCTGAAAGCCTCCTTCCTGAGGACTAGTTTTCATAGAAGGTGCTATGCAAAGCTGCCAAGGGAGGGAAGCAACCAACAGCCTTACCCAGCTTTGATGCCTATGAACCCCAACAATGACCAGCACAGCAAGCTATCTGTGAGGGTGCAATAGTGGCACTCATGTCTTAGCAGTAACTCATAGCTGTCTAACTGGACTGACAGCCTGCTCAAGAGAAAAGAAATCATGTCTTCTACTAAAAACTTAGCTAGTTACCTGGGGCTAGTGAGGTTATAGGAGCAACTACTACTGACACTTTACTAAATTAGCTAATTCCTAACTGTATTCTAAGTATTTATCCATATACCCTCTCACTCTTTATCAAAGAAAACTACAACTGGTCAAAATGAAGCCAACAGCTAAGTACCTAGTCCCAACTGATATATCTGTAAGTGTGTGTGTGTGTGTGTGTATATAAAAACAGTAATAACTAAATAAAAAGAAGCCATAAATTTGAGAAGCAGTTGGGAAGGGGTTGGAGGAAGTGATGTAATTATAATTCAATAAAAAATTATAAATAATAAACAAGACACAAGGAAAACTCCCAAACTTATGTTCTCATAACTAAAGGATCAGTCTTCTGTGGGTCTTCATATTTTGCATGCTAAATGTTTGCTAGACCCTAAGTTAGAGAATGTAGACAAGTCTGGAACTAAATGCTATTATTCAGCTACCAAATCTGGCTCTCTATGATGGCTGCCCCAGGTTTTCTCCTAATATTTTAAGTCACAACAAGACAAAAATGTTCCCTTGATTTTAGTCACTAAGAGCAGAAAAAACGCACTGTGAAGAACAAAGGACCTCCACACACTTCTGTCCACACACTTCTGTCCTGGAGCTGCCCACCAACCAAGACCCAGGCCCAGCATGCCAAGTCATGCTGGTGATGACCATAACATGGTCTCCAGGTCAGACTTACCTTGGGAACAAGATACTGCTGATCAGTGCAGGCCAGGACATAGGCTTCAGCTCTGCCCAACTCACTCTGGGGGAAGTGGGCGTTCATCTCATCCCCATCAAAGTCAGCATTGTAGGCTTTGCAGTTGGCATAGTGAAGGCGTAGGACTTTTTCTTCAGGCAGAATGTGGGCACGGTGGGCCTGGATGGAGGGTCTGTGCAAGGTAGGCTGTCGGTTCAGTAGGAGAATGTCCCCATTCTTTACATGCCGGCACACCTAGGGGCACAATGAAGAGCAGCTGAGTGCCAGTGAGCACTTTGGCAAGATCACTGATGCCACATTTGGCTTGGGTGAGCTCTGTATGCCTCGTATACTAGTCAACTAAATGAAAGGGGAATTTTTGATCTAGAGAAAAGCTCTAGAAATTCTCCCCAAGCCCCTATGCTCTGGCCCTTTCATGGCTCAGATCCCACTTCTAGACTCAGAGGCGTAAGGAGCAGACATGGCCAGCCTCACATCTCTGCAGCAAGCATCGTTTTCTCCAGAATGCACAGCCCTGCAGGGCCCTAGGCTCCTCTATGGGAGGTAACAGAGACACTGATAAAATTTCTCAAGACTGCATGCTTCCACGGATTTCAAAGAACTTGGCGGGCTTCTCAAATCCTCCCAAGGTCAAAGATGAATCGTTTAGCAGTAACTGGCCCAACTTCTCACAGAACATCCAGGACTGGAAGACAAGGCTTGGAAGCCTCAGTTCAGTGATCCGTGAAAACATTCTGAACTTCAAAACTTCAAAATAAGTCTGAAAACTAAAAACTGTCAAGGTCTTTGGGAGAAACGTCCTGAAGATACATACTGCTTACAACATTCAAAACATTTCCTTTTGGCCTTTCAGGAGGGAAAAAGCATTGTGGTAAGCAAAAGGAACCTATGCTTATGCAGTCCAACTTACAGCAGGAAAAGTAGAAATATCCCAATTGCCCCACAGAAGTGGCAGTAAATCCCAGTGTGTGCACATTACAGAATGCTATGCAGAGACAACAGATGCTAAATTAAATCAATATTATTCTGAGTATGATGATGAAGGAAGTAGTAATGCAAAGAAAACAAAAAACAAGATCCCACTAGCATGTAAGGAGACAAGATGCAGTGACTGGAAATCAACCCAATTGTGTCTAGGGCAGCTGTACATTGGAAAAGGTGTACAGGTTCTCACTGCTAGGCCTCCTGGATATGGACTCAAAAGGGTGGTAAGACACATAATAACATCTTACAAATTACTTCTGCAAATATATTTTTTTTGTAAATAAGGTCTTGTTGTGTTGTCAAGTTGGCCTCAAACTTATGGTCCTCCTGATCTGCCTGCCAGAGATGACTCAGTGGGTAAAGTCCACTGAGCCTGACAGCCTGACTTTGATCCCTGGAACCCACATGGTGGAAGGAGAGAACCTAAAAGATGTCCTCTGATTCCATACATATACCACGGCATGTGTGTCTCCTTACTTCCTCCCCAATAAATAAGTGTAATAAGAAAGCAAGAAAAGCTGCCCAAGTGATGTGCTCACTGAAGGGAGAAAAGCAGAAGATACAAACTTTAAAGAATAAAAAAGCACAAGTAATTTTACCCTCCAAGACAAACACCGTTCATACTTTTCCCCCTTTCAAACCCACTCTGTTATGCTCCTTGGACAGAACGCCTCCCCCTCAAAGCTGACTTTACAAACCCGAAAGAACACTTTGAAAACAACTACAGAAAGATAAGGTGGCCTAGAGGATATGGACACTTGGTAATCCTCGATCCCCCTCAGGGCCCTCTGGGTCGCAGCAGGTAAGAGGCAGGAGGAAACAGGTCTAGTAACTTTTTGTTGCCCATATGTCTGAGGGCACACTGGAAAACTGGCTAAAGCAAGCCTGTACGCTGGGCTTCGGACTGTGAAGAGATTGATTTCTCCCCTCCTTCCCAGTCCTTGTCAGTTCTGCTCAAGCTCCCTCAGAGGAGCAGTAAGGCACAGGGTCTGTGTTTTCACTTCCCAAGGAATTCCAACCTTCCTAGGCCCACACCCGACTGCTCCGTTTCCAAGGAGACCTGCACTCTGAGGATTCCCATGAGCATCTGCCCAAGGCACTGGCTGGCTCAGTGCGTCACACAGCCTGAAGTTTTCTTTCCTTAGTGTCTCAAGGGAAAAGTTGGCCAGATCTGTGGCCCAAGCCCAAACCCCAGGCTGAGCCTAGGATCTGAGTCTAGTGAATCCAGCATAAGCAAATTCACTGCAGCTGGGAAGAGAGTAGGCCAGTCTGCCAGACACTGGCCAATCCAAACAGAAACCTGGACCGCAGGGCACTCCGCTTGCCAACCCAAACCAAGGTCTTTCCTTTCTCTTGTCACTAAATAAATACTGTGGTGAAAATCAGTGTGCCCCAGTGCCTGGGTCAGAGTTTACAGACGCAGGCATGGGGCCAGAGGCTGCTTAGGGAAGCTGCCAGGCAGAGAAACAAGCCTACGTTATCCTGGCCACTTCCTTCTTGATGGGGCCCAAGGGAAAGGACAGAAGTTGCCTCTGTACAGGGGAAATGACCTTTCAGACAACCCTTCCCCCCTCACCTGACCTTTAAGTGAATCGTAAGATACCAGTCACCTCTCCCAGGCCTTCTGTCCTATCCTGAGCTCTGTGTAGTAAATTCATAAACTCTTTCAAAATGACAAATTAGAAGTGCATGAACACCTAAGTTCAAGTTTCCTGTATCTACATAACATTTTGACATTTTGACATGAAACTTGCCATCTGGAGTCCCAGGACCTGATGGAAGAACCACTCAAACACAGAGAGACGGGCGCACACACAGGGATGATACAATGCAGCAAGAAAAGAGGTAGGGCGAGGGATGTGTGTGCTGGGGAATACATCAGGTACCTAGCACGGTTTTCAGGAGTGGTAAAGTACCTTCTGCAGCCTCACACCCATCTGTCTACACTTGCTTTTATACTACGCAGTAAGAGCTGAGTAGTCACAAGAGCCTGTAAGGCTGAGATATTTACTATGATCCTAGGGAAGAGAGGACTGGGCTGAGACTTGAAGGACAAGGCTGGGCTGAGACTTGAAGGACAGCAGGAATCAGCCACCGAATCATGAGGAGGGCAAAGAGTTCCAAGTAGGGGAACAGCATATGCAAAGCCTGAAAGGAGATGGAGCTGGCTGTAGAGAGCTTGAAACAGTTTGGGTTGAAAGGGGGACCAGTGGAGAAAGCAGACAATAGGCGGCCTTATGAGCTTGGTAAGAATTTGAACCCCAGTTGGGAGATAAGCAACTGAGTCACCCTCATTCACCCTCGCTGCTACTCAGGGGTCTTTCACTGGCATCATGTGAACTGCCTAGCACACTGCAGCTCAGTGAAGCTCCTGTCCCACCCCTTTGCCTATCCCCACCTGAGCCCACAGAAGTAACCAGGCCACCTGAAGAAAGCACCCTAGTGCCCCTGCCTTATCTTTATACCCCAATAATGCCAGACCATTTCTGACTTACTTTTCAAATGTTCCTAGCTACTTACTGCCTATTTTCTCAGCATGAGGGCTCTGGAATCTGTCTCCCTCTATGTTCACAGATGTCTCTGGCTTAACCCTAAAGAATTCCTTCATGGCTGGAGAGATGGCTCAGAGGTTAAGAGCACTGACTGCTCTTCCAAAGGTCCTGAGTTCAATTCCCAGCAACCACATGGTGGCTCACAACCATCCGTTTGAAATCTCATGCCCTCTTCTGGTGTGCAGATATATATATGGAAGCACAATGTTGTATACACAATAAATAAATAAATTCTTAAAAAAAAAAAGAACTCCTTCACTACATATAAAAAAACAAGTTCAGGCACAAAATCAGCAAGCCCAGCCCCATCACTGCCTACCTTCCCTGCTGCGTCTCTATTTCATACTCCCAGGAGACCTCCTTTTCTCTCTTCATCATGCTCTATTCAATGGGTTTAATGTTCTGATACCTTTTTCCTAATTCTGTGGTCTCTTCAATCTAAGTCTCACATTTCTACTTTTTACAGGAGATGGCCCTTATTTTCTCCACAGTCATTTCAAGTCTAGAAGGGCTAAAAATGATCTCTCTTTCCTTGATGCCCCTTTTCTCCTGATGGAAACTAATGCTTCATCTTCACCTCACCCATCTCTATGGCAAAGCGTCCCTGGTGCTCCCTCCGCAACACACCTATACTCAGCCTTGATGGCTCACTTCCTGGCTTACAGCACATATTTACTGGTAATCCCTGTCAGGGTCATATCCTTGCAAAGCCTGAGCACATAGTAGGACCTCAGTACGAATGAACCCTCATTGCCTACTCCTCTTGAAACCTTTCTCCTCATTGCAACTGTTTAAATGAACAGGAAGATTATTTACATTTGCCTGAATTCATCAGTTAAGTGAAACAAACCTTGTTGTTTCTGAAATCCCTCACGTAGTTCCAAGGAAAAAACATGACAATGTACTAACCCAACAAAGAACAAAATTGGTACCATGATCTATTTATCAGTCTGAATGGTGTCCCTGTCACAAAAGCAAAATGGCATAGAGCAGAATTTAACTCAAGTAGCATTGTTATTCTAACGGGGTGGGGGTGAGGGGGCGGCTTTGAAAATAAGGAAAGCAGTAGGACTGGTCTATGGTGTGGTCAGCAGTGAGGATCCATGGGGATCAATGGTCACCATGCCAAGCCCAGAGTGTGTCTCTGCTCTTCCAAAGATCCTTCTAGGCAGGTGGGAACTTTGTGGAGCTTGCACCCATTATTATAGATAGCCAATCCCAGAGACAAATTCAGTATGGGGGTGAGGTCAAATTATATCTCTCCCTAGTTCCAGTGAAGCTGCTACTGATCTGAATACCACTTTTTGAGTAACCCCTTTCAAAGGCAGCATGCAGGAACCAGACAGAAACTAGACAGTCCTGACCAAACCCTCATTTACTTACAATTTTTGTCCCCTGAGGCTTAGGAGCCCCCGTGGCTGGTGTCAGGAGCTGTTTGGCCACAGCTTCTCGCTGTGTAGCATCCACTGCACTCAGGGCTGTGCGACTGCCATCCTCATTGATGACCATGGAGGCCCCTGGGTGCACGTTGGGTCCATTAATGACTGCTTGTCTTAGTTCCTGCACATTCCACGGGGTAACTGGCTGAGGGTAGGTCAGTTTTGTGGCAAATACCTAGAAACAAGGATTGCATGTCAGGATGAGTAGACAAAGGTTCCAGGAATACAAAAGCTAACAAAATGAGCTGTCTGATTCTGTTTGCTTAGCCTAGGCCTTTCTGTAGGTAGAACACCTGTGACCTCTATAGAGACATTTTGCTTCGTTTGCTCCCTTGAGGGAACAGACTGGGCAATTTACACATTAGTTTTCCCTCTTTTTTTGTTTTTTCAAGACAGGATTTCTCTATGTAACAGTCCTGGCTGTCCTGGAACTTGCTTTGTAGACCAGTCTGGCCTTGAACTCACTGAGATCCACCTGCTTCTGCCTCCCAAGTGCTGGGATTAAAGGTGTACACCACCACTGCCCGGCTGCATTAGTTTTCTTAAATGCACACTGAAACTTCACTCTTTCTCATCTGCCAATAAAGTCAGGGTTGCCAAAGGAATAGAATAGGGCACTTGCTTGAGAGCTACCACACCCCTCCACATCTTAGCAGGTATCACTAACTACTCAGGGTAGAGCCCAGGCATAACATCAGTCAGAGGCATTTAAGAGGAAATGGATTTGCAATTCTGAGACTGAAGAACATTAAGTGTTCTTTTGTCAATACTAGACCTGAAACCTGCTCTAAAACAAGTGCATTTTCTCTACAGTTAAGTGAGTTTTTGAATCACTGATTTTTATTTATTTGATACTTCAACACATACACACACATACACACACAAGTGTATCAAAGATTCCAAAGCCCAGGAAGTTAACGCCCCAGGTCTTTGTATAGAAGCAGTGCAGGAGCCCTGCCATGATCCAACCTCTTTTACTTTGTCCTAATGGGCTTGTTTACTGTTTGGTCACCACTTGGTGTACAGATTTAGGAGACACTGCTCTGGTGTGTGGCTCCTTGCCAGGCTTAGCTCATTCTCATTTTATCTCACCTCCTTGTTCCCATAACACCTCTGATATCTTGTGGGGGAGGGGAAGAGGGCAGCAGCTCCACCCACCCTGTTCTTCCTGGTTGCCCTACAATAACCCCAGGCCTACATGACGGAGAATGGGGTAGGGTAAGAGCCAGTAGGGTGGACAAGCATTAGTCTCTTCTCAGGGTCCAAGCCATCAGCAAATAAACTCAGATCACAAAAAAGAAAAGGCCTGAATTCTGTGAAGTTAGAAGGCAAGGCCTCACTAAACGTTTCCTCCAAAGCTGGGGACACTCTAGGCACTGAGGTCAAAGCCAGGGTGGCTTCTACATTCTGTCTAGAGAAGAAAATTAACATGTCCTGGGCCTTTTCTTTGGTAAACAGTCCAGCTTCTGCATGCAAGGACCTGTGGTTCCTGGGAGGCAATGCACAGGGCAGAGCCTTCTCTCTCTGTCTTGACACAGCAGGCTCTTGCCTAGGAAGCCAAAGTGTGCCAAATTATCAGAACACTTTAGCTCGGCTCATTACCAGCTTCCCCAAGAGAGGCAGGGTGGCATGTAAGGAAATGAAACTCCACACAGAGGGAATTAAACCATCTTCGAATTATTGACCTCAAGGCCCATTAAGGAGGAAGTCGGCCGGATAGCTGCTGCTAATGAGCACCAAGGCTTTAACTGGTGGGGAAGTGAGAAGAGGAAGCTGGCTCACCAAGGGAACGCTAATGGGTGAGCAGGCCCTCACCCCTGGCACTGGGAATGGCAGATGACACACACATGCTGCCTTTCTGAGGGCCCTCCCACTTTCCACTGCCAGATACCCACGTGGGACTGAAATCCCCTTACCCTCTTCTTCTTCCATCATGGACTCAGTTGGACATGGAAGGTTTAAAAACTAGGTTAAGATTGGCAAGAATAAAACACAGACACAAGATGTGGAATGACCTGCTGGGAATTCCCTAGTGCTTCAGGGCAAAGTCTTCTAATAGGATGACAATACCATGATGCACCTCAAGTCCCTTCCCTACAGGTTGTTCCTCCCCGTGTGAAGCATTATCCCCACCGGAGCCATGCTGATTTAGCACCAAGCTGTTCTCAGACCTTTATGGTACACCTATCTACCTCTCAGTAGCAAAAATGAGGCCTCTCCCTAACAACACACCATGGGAATTCCAATTTCGTTGGTATTGATGTACATATCTGGGCAGATGACTGAGCGGGCTGCATAGTCAACTCGCTTTCCCATCATGTGTTTCCGGAACAGCCCTTCCTTCTTCTCTAGGATCTGTAAAAAAGACAGATTATTAAACAATTCAATTATGTTTATTATTTTCTTGCTTCTGTGCCAGTGTATATAATGTGCATCTATAAACATGCAGATGGGAGCTGGGGACACAGAGCAATTGTTAGTTGTTTATTACTGGCCCTCACCACCTTGTGATGGGAATCCAATCACTGCTCACCTGTCTTATGCCAGGGTACTTTTCCATCATTAATTTGTCCATCTCACTGTCAAACACAATATTGACGTGGCTCTGCAGGCGAATCCAAATGTTGTAAAGTTTATCTGTGAGAGACTGGCCTGGAAGCATACTTAAAAAGGATCGGTCGATAGCAACTGAAGAGTCATTTTCCTGGGAAGATAAATTCAAGGAAATAGGAATGATTGGAGAAAAACTTGTTTATTACTCAACCTAGCTCTG